ACTGCACCTGTGTACATTAACATTTACTTAGTGTGTGCGCTGTTGTAAAAGAAAATGCCTGAAAGTGTTTTTTTGTGTGTTTGTGTGCCTGCATGCGTGTGTCCACACACTAAATGCAACCATTCAGGCATCCAGACTATTAACTCAAACCACAGTGGAGCAGAAATCCATCAATAACAGAAGAATCCATTCAAAAAGTGATGTTATTTTAGTTCAAAGAGCGTGAGGAAAACGAGAGGGAGAGGAGCAACAAGGTTGGATTCCAGCCAGTGGGGATATTTTTAGCATTTGCTTTTTCAGTCTTTTATGTCAATTACCTCTCAGTGACTCACTGGCAGGATAATGATAACACACTGAAGAAATATTGCTCTTTGTGGGTATATTTAATTAGATTGTCCTATATGCTCATATGAGAATCTGAGAAAAAGGCCTGCCTGCAGAGTAGCAGTCCCAAAGGTCCTTCACAGCCAAAGGTCTTTCTTGTAACAGTGTCAAGATCTGCTCTCATTTTTTTTTAAGTGGAAAGCCATTTCCTGACTTTCTTTGTAATGCGCATACGTCTGGCACATCACAAAGGGAGAGAAAGTCAGGGGAATAAAGAAATTATATGAAATCACACAGGATGAATGTTATTGTTGTTGCTGTTGATGTGGGAAAATGACCGGGTCTATTGCATTATTCATTCCTCATCTAACAACATCACAGAAATGTTTTCAAGGAGGCCTGATTACACTGAATCCTGACCAGTAGTCTGGATCAACAACTTTTTAGAACCATGCATCCATCTCTCCATTCCTCACATCAACCCGTTCCATCCATCTCATCAACTTTCCACTGCTTCTTCAGACATCAATCCCTCCTTCCATTCTCCCACTCCTCCATTGCTTCATCTCTCTATCCTTCAAACGCCTTTACTTTCTTCACCCAAGCTCTGTTAAATCTCTCCATCCCTTGCTTTCATCACTCCATCCTCACTCTGTTTCCATCTTTCCATCTCAGCCCAGGTACAAGATGGATGCAGCAGTCACCGGGACCTTTTAAAAATATCACTTCTGACAGACTAGATGAGACACTCTACCGCTCTGTTGATTTATCCTTCCAGTGCGCTGCAGTAACTTTGTTAACGTCTCTCATCAGCCTATTAACAGCACATGAGCATGGCCAGGAAACAGGTGCTGGGAGAGTTTTACTGTCCATCACCTCACCAGCAGAAGCTGATCAGCAGTAGGGAGTGCAGGCAGTACTGGGAGCTCCAACGCTTCGGGCCCACAAAGTCACAACTTCAATAACGAGTTGTATTAGACAGTGGAATTCAGGTTAAAACAGCAGCAGAGGAGAGATATAGCAAAAGAAAACTGGATAAGTATTCACGAAATGCACACAAATAGCTTACAAGATCCAGTCTCTCAGAGCTGTTGTAAGGCAGCAGTTCGAGATTTTGGTGTCCAACTTTCCAGAATTTACAATCCGACAATCATGCCCTCTTTACACAGTGATTGGCCAGCTGTGAGGAGGTGAGACAGGAGCCAGGGAACTTCTCTCTATAGTTGTCTTTTTTCATTTTTGACAGTAAAACACCTGAGTGTAACACTATAAATGTCATCCAGGTGAGACGGTCTGGAAATCTCCATATTTAAACAACTAAAAATAAGAATCTGTGTGTTTTCATTACCTTAGAAGGAGCCATTTTTAGCTACAGAGGGAGGGTGTTGGGTTAGCTTAGCATAAAGACTAGAAACAGGGAACTATCTACCTGGCACTTTTTCCATGCTTGGCAAATTTTTAGTTTATTTGTTATTGTTTTATTCTGCTTTCTTTTTTGGCAGGACACAGTGACTTTCTGGGATCTTACTGCCACACAGTCCCATCTGAGACTCCAGACATCACTGCTCCTGGCCAAGAAATAGTCCCTCACATCCCTTCAAGATATCACTAATTATTGAGCTTTAGCGGTCCTCTTAGGCAGATTTCCTTACCTTTGGACAGACCTTTTGGACCTTCTCATCTAACTTTCAGTCCAACTATTCCTTTAAGGTTTAGAAAGAAGACATCATCACAAGTATAAACTTCTTTTATGGACATGCTTGCAATCTATGATAAATAATGGACCAGATCTAATATAAAAATTTATGAATTTACATCATATACTCCCTCCAAATGAAAAAAATACAGAATTATTATCCACAATAGTAGGAAAGGTTTCACATAAGGAAAAAAATCTTGGTTTCATAGTCTTTTTTAACTGAGCAAAGCCAGTAAACTGTGGTGCCAGTCAGTCAGCGTTCAGTGAGAAAAGAGGCAAAACTATGATGCAATGTGTGGAGGGCAATAAGGCATAAGGCACCTTTTAAAAAAGCACCACAGCCCTCACACCAGCAGAGCAGCTGAATCCAGAGAATCCCCACCCGGCAACAAAAAGGTCACGCCTGTCACAGCTGAGCCATGAAGAGCTGAGCAACATGCTTTGGGAAAATACCTTTTTCATGACGAGCACATATAACAATGCAAAAATGCAGTGACCTTAACAGCGGAGAGAACATGCTTGAGACAGTTTGATATGACCCTCAATGCCTATATTGTAGCTGTGGAGGAAGTGGAGCCTGGAGCCTGCAGGATACTGCTCACCAAGCCCAGCTCTCCTGCTGGCTTTTTACACATACATCCTCCAACACCACCAAACACGTGAAGTGATACGATTTGCACTAATCTCCTAAATTTAACAAATTTTTACATGTTTCTACTCAAATCTTTCCATCCATCTATTCCAGCTTTTCTTTTCACTTTCATCTCAAAGTTTTAAGCTCTCACTTCTCCTGTACTTCTATTATTTCAGCCTGCTTCCATCACCCGCCCACCACAGATACCAAACCTGCACAGCAAACAATGCTGATACAGCTCTTCTTCTAGAATAAGGCCTTTGTTTGCAGTTTGTTGTCTTAAAATCCCACCTAACTATGTATTCTACCAAACAAAATAAAGTCTTTGTTCGGGTTATATTAACTCTAATGATTGTGGACACTGACATTGTGTTGAGTTTTAGATTACCAAGCTGTCAGTCAAACCAGCAGATGATTCAGCAGAGATCCGATGTCTGATCAGGCATTTTTCAAGGCAAGTTTATAATCATACATCCTTCCTCTTTGCTCCTTCCCATCATTGCTTCTTCACTCTGCTTGCCATCAGACCAGACAACAAGTAACTAAAGATGTCATGTTAATGGCAGGGAGCTCAACAGAAGCGTATGGCCAGCACAGACAACCGGAGGAAGCTATTTGCTGACAAATGGGATTTGGTGTTGGGCTTGAGCAGCATTAACTGGTGGGTTTTATTGGTTGAAGGAGCACGATATCATGGCGGTTTTCTTCTCTATGCCTCTCTGGCAAAGTGGATGACGTTGCAGGGAGCAAAGGCATTTGGTCACGCAAAGGTGCCGAGCACTGTTAAACAGATGGCAGGAGACCAGTGAAGAGTGTGGCAATGGACAGCAGATGGAGAAGAGATCATGAAGGAGACCAGAGGAATGCAGTGTGTATACCCGACTCACTGCCAGTCCTGCTCTCACAAATACTTGATGAGTCTATCCTCTAGTCTTTCCTAAAGTATAAAGCTCTGAGTCAAATATATAACATTATGCATTTCAAGAAAAGTTCAAAAAGAACAGAACAGATATGTCTTATTTCTTAGAGCATGGAAGTTGAATTTAAGGCATGAACTCTATTCCTGCAGAGTGATGTGTTCATGGAGTGTATTTAATGTCTCATTCTGAACATTTATCCTTTGTGTAAAACTGATAATAATGTACTCATCACTGAATACTGCAGCTTCTGATGATACAACATGAAATGCTGCTGCAATAGTAATTTTAGGGTAAACCAATAGGGGGCAATCTTGTACAATAAAGCAAAGCACAGAGCATGTGGCTGTCACAGCTGAGCTGCAGCTTGTACTGCACTGTCCAGGAAAGTGAGGTTCTGCAGAATGTCATCTGGTTCGAGACAGTGTATTCATTCACTGGACCGTATGACCAATTTAAACTAGAGGAAATATGTGTTACTTCAATTATTTTCATTTGATTGATTGTTTTTAATCATGTAATTTCCAGTATTTCTTTGTCAGATTCAGACAAACAGTGCTGACGTCAGCATCATGATGCCAACAATGGCATTCAGCAATATTATCTAAATTCAGAACATCAAAAAAATCTTAATACATTACAAACATTTTAAATCTACTTACTTGAAAATGAAATGAAATTTACTTTCAGAAGGTTCAGCGATACAAAGGATGGCAGCTACCACAGTATAGCTAATGAACCTTAACCAAACTAGTGCTGTAAAAAGTCAGCTTTACCTATTAACAAAAAAGAAATAATGATAGCATAGTAATCTTATTATAATATCAGATTATTATACGTATATACAGTTATTATATGTCCAAGAGAGGTGTTTTCCTATTTGCTTAATAATTATTTAAATCAGTTAATTTATTATGCTTTAATGCTTAAAAAACATTCTGCACCACATTGACCTATAATTCATGATACATTTAATCGAAACAGAAAGACTTAGTAAAAGAGAAACACTACACAAACAACAACCCATGAGGTAAGAGAGGCATATACCCCTTTCCTAGAAGTGCACAGTTTAAGGTAAACGAGAGTGATGTGGAGGAAAATGTGACTATTGGGGTCTTTGAGTTAAAAACACCCATCCTGAGAGCTGCTGCTGGGACAGGATGAGTGAGAGTGTAGGTGGGGATGTGGGGGCTTTGAAACCACAGCAGCAGGTAGGTAAGACTGACAGGTTAACCTCCCCCTGCTCATATGGACCTGACATCCTGTCTGCCAATACGCACAGAGATACAGCAACACAGAGAGACAAACAGACTCAGTCAGACTCAAGAACAGACCAGCAGCTCCACATTTTCTGCCAGGGACTCTGTATGTGAGTATAACAAAGGTAAGGAGTAGCATTTGGAAGCAAGAAGACACCGTATGACTGGATATATAAAGGTAGATATACATATGTTGGAGCTGAATATTATATTATATATACATATATCAGACAGCCATATACAGATCTAGAAGCTGGGACTATGGATATCTAAATTGATAGCACAGTGCCATGACAGGAGCAGGTCAATTTACACATATTATATTGAAAAAATAAATAAGCTGATTCCAACCAAATATGGGGGTCAATTCAATTTAACTTTATATTAGCTGAACTTTATTTCTGATCTTGAGAAGAATATACATTATAAATAAATATTGTGAGGAATGGCCTTTGTTACAATATTAGCTAAGAATAGGCCTGGCTGAGACTGACATCTAAAAATGTGTATTATAAAACCACCATTAGACCAAAGTTGGATATGTCATATTACACAGCAATGTCCTTTTTTTATATCAAAATCATAATCAGGGAATATTCTAAATCCAAAGTCAATTTCTGTATAAAGATCTTTTGTGCAAACCCATGAGAGCTCTGTAGTCTTTTATTATTAATCTCTGATAGTCTTCTCCTCTGTCACTCAGTGTTATTGAAAGAGGAGTGTCGGCCATTACAGGCTTGGCAGCTGCACTGAGCTGCAACACTGATACTCTGTGGGAGTCAGATTATCACAGAGAATGATGGCGGCTGCAGGGGACTCAGGGCAGGGCCAAAGGGCAAGGCACTAACTCTCTGCCTCTGACATTACCCCAACTATAAAGAATACGGTAATCCTATCGCGCAGACTGGTGTAACAGTAAAATAAAAACTGTAAACTAGAGGCCACATGCAAAATGTCCTGTCAGGAACAATAAAAAGAGATAAAATTCCACAGTGTTTTCTGGTGGCTATATAAACTTGTTATGGACTGTCTGAGTCGTATTTGTAAGTGTATATTATAGCAGGTAGGAGCACAATACGTTCAACTAAAACTACAATAAGACACCTTTGAGCACCATTATTATTGTTCTCTGTCGGAACCGGAGTGCGACACCATAAATGTCAAAAATGAATGAATAATCTGGGTATAAAAGGAGTACTACCACAGACATCTGAGTCCATGTCATGTAAGAATTATACTAAAAACATTGAAACTCGTCGTATATATGTTATAGAAAAGAGGCTTGAGTGTTCCGCAACATTTAAACATTTAAAAAAAAAAAAAAAAAAGCTTGGTTCCCACAGGAAGAATAAAATATTTTACATATTTTGTTAGATTTTAATGAATTTCGACTGATCACTGGTAAAAGCAAATTGAATTATTGGTGATTGTAATATAGACCAGCCCAAATTTTAAAACCTACTGGTTGTTTTAATGGCCCTTTTCCAAGGACCAGAAATAAACACAGTTTACATTGTTATATATTTTCAGAGTGAAAAGGGATATGTTGAAAAAATGCCATCATCTGTAATGAAAAAATTTGGGGTTTTATGTGTCTTCTAATCTCTCTGCAAATGCTCAGTGTTTTGACAGTGAAGATAGAGGCCTGGGTGATACGAAACCGAACGAAAACCACAAACATGTTGTGTGCAGAAAATGTTCTGCAGCTCTAAGAAAACGAAAATTAGACTACATGAGCTCTTTGATAGACTAAACGTCTTAGACATGCACTTTGATTCGGTTGTTATCTCTCACATAACGAGCTGAGATCCGTCTGCTGTGCTGTGTGATAATTAACTCTGCTTTTAAAGACTGCCATGAGTGGGTCCGATGATCCGTTGCTGTAATGAAATATATTTAAATTGCTATTGTTTTTCGTCTAGTGGGCTACATGACTTGTTAGGGTTTTTTTTAAATATAAATTATTTTAAAAGCATGTATTCCCCACAGTGGTGCGGCCGTTTTTATTAAAGCATTTATTTTAAAGTGATGTCGACCGAAAATGTAACGTTGCTGTGGCAGACAGTGTTCTGTCAGAGCCGCAAACACTTGAGTGGAAGAGGGAACAGCTTGTTTTTTGTTGAAGTCCCAATAGGCGGCGCTGCAGACTTGCATTCTGTTGCTCCAACTCTTTCCAGCTAACTACAAACCCCTGTCAGTCCTGCTGCACTGAACATTACAATTTGCATATTCATGTTGAAAACTTAAGTTTTCCTCCAGTCTTTTTGTCACAGTAAAATGATAAGATAATTAGAGAAAAACAAGATGAAATAATTAAAGGTAAGGTGGGTCCTAATGAGTCCCATCAGTGCATTTTGACATTTCACTAACAGAAATATCAGCAGACTTTTCCAGCCTTGATTTAAATACCTAAATATTTTCATTTAATTTCGCATGAGCTTTTCGGTGTCTTGCGGTTGGATGGAAAATTCAACATCTTCATTCAATAATAACCTGTTGTTGTGCAGCCTGCTCGTGTGCGTAAAAACACTTTGTCTCTAGCACAAAGAAGCGCACTTTAACTTTTGATTCGGGCTGTCACAAGTCTTAATTACTTACTGCATCTGTGGCCAGAAACAAACCGCAATCTAATTAAAGAGCAGTCTAATTCATCGCATATACTCTGTCACTTCTCATAAACTCAATAAAAAGACTGAGTGGGACATTGAAAGTATGTAAGAATGAGACTTCATTTTTTGAATCTGCTTTTGAACAAAAATGACTTTTACTGATTAAGGCTTATCTCAACATATACATGTAGTCTCTGCATATCTCAGGCTATTTTATTGCACACAATTGATCAAATATAATAAAATGTCAGTTCCTTTCTGGAAATCATATGGGATGATTATGCGGTAATAATCCTGTTTAGTTGTAAATAACACAGGTAAAACTGCCCAGGCAACGTGTGTGACGTTCTCGTGACGTTGTAATTATGCAATTTTATAAAGTGTTTTCAAACAGTTTAATGAGACACTTCTTTTACACACTGTGCAAAGAAGGGAAAAACGCAGCTCATGGTCTGAAGAATACAAGTGGCGTTTACTTTGTATTTCTTCCCAGTGCTGCTCATCTCTGTTGTAGTTTTTTCTGTCACAAACCTCATCATTTTTTTATTTTTACCACAGAAAAATAAAACCATTTAATGTGGTGGCTCTTGCATGTGCCCTCCATTTTCGCAAATGGGGTCTATGGTTTGAAGAAAAAAAAATCTTGTAAGCTGCTCAAGTATCCAAACGCACGTTTTAAAAAGCATGGAGTTGGAGGAAAAAACGAGCAGGGTTTCCTCCTGCGCTTCCAATCGTGTCTCCAAAAGAAGGTATCAGCCTTGGCTATATGGTGTATGAGAGGTGTCAGAAGATGCAGATTGAGCCGAACACGCTTCTCTACAATGGTCTGGAGCCCTAGTTGCTATCCAAACACAAATAAACAGAGGAGGAACATTGGAGTTAATGATAGAGGAGGGGGGTGGAGGCGTGTCGGAGGGCGGGCTGAGCACTCCAGAGCCCCGGAGCCCTGAAAAGTGAAGGGCCGGTGCGCATTACGCACACTTCCAGCCCCAGCTCCGGACGGGACTCCCATGCTGCTGCTGTCTCTCCTCCAAAACTTCTTCGCCTCTTTCCACAACTTTTCACAACTTGTCACATCTCCGCAAAGGGTCCGAGACATCAGAGTTGGCTGCATGGCTATATGAAAGTTTCATGGACTTGGAACTTGGAAAACTTTTAGCGGCGCTTTATTGGAGCTCGTCGCCTCTATAGTTACTGTGGATTACTGACATACCGCAGGACCTTTGGCAGCTATTTATTGGGGTAAGATTCTGTTTGATAGGGTATGTGTCAGTCTTCTGCAGGAAGGGAACCAACCTCACTCAACTCAGTAGTTAGAACTTAAAGTAAAGATTGAACTTTTATTGTTTGAGCTGTAAACCAAAAGAGATCGAAATGTCAGTCAAAGGGGCAACTTGAACAAAAGCTAAATGAAATGTTGTTTCCAGAGGTGATTATTGCTTCGTGGTGATCACCAGCTTGAGGTCACAGTTCGTCCACGTTTTGACATCTCTGTCCACAGCGCGTAACACCGCTTAAACAAGCAGTGGCCTCCGCGTCTGTAAAGACTTGTCAAGACTTATAGAAATTTAAAACCTGTCAAAAACAGAAAGCGACAGAGATTCAAAGAACACGATAGGGCACTTCGGCTGTTGTCAAGGTGTCAGTGAAGTCCAAAGGTTATTGAGAGAAGAACAGGTTGAACAAAGTTGCACATATGGGCAAAGAACAAGTGCCTGCATGGTGACTTATGCTGCACCTGTGCAAAATTACATTTAACCCTATCCCGCCTGTGAAAGGGAAGTAGACAGATCTGTGGAACAAATGTGACGAGCTGAAACGAGCGAGCAGCCCTCCGGCTACCTTGTACGCAGGACTTGCACTCTGCAAGCCCCTCTCCAAGTGTGAATAATGCCTTAAATCTCCAGAAAGTTTCAGGGTCGGCAGGCTTGTGACATATTATGTTAAAATATGATTAGGTCTGGTGTGTCCAAAACAGCTGTAGGCATTATATTCTATTGTCCAAAAAAAACAGAAAACTTAGCTTTTTCTTTTCTTATTTTCATTTCCGACCGAATCTAAAGGTCAGTCCTCGCCGCTGTGCCGCTGGCCTGCTGCCAGCCTTGAACTAACACGGTGGACTTTTCTGTGTGGGAAAACATAACTTGTCATCCACACGAAACATGGAACCAGGCCCTCTAATTTCTTGCGCTGTCAGCTCACCTTATTTGTCCTCCACTGTGGGGAAAGGTGGCTCCTGCTTTTAATTAACGCAAACATTGTTCTGTGAAAAAGTAGATGAAAATACTGCCCAGAGGTTGTTTACCCCCATATTCCCTTGCCCAGGGGAAACACACCTTATAGGAAATATGTAGTATGAAATAAAATAGACCTAAAAGCAACACATTAGGCCTATAAAATTAACTGGCTACCATCCGCAGCCATAAGAATAAAAAACACATGCATTTCCAGCGAAGATTAAAGTAACTTTCTTGTGGACAGAATTTGTGTGTTTTGCTCTGACTCATGCTGGCGCATTTAATAACATATTTGATCTCTGCTTGCAAAATTTCAAAATTGTACCAATGCACACAGAGAGCACTTGTTTTGCATTGTGAAACACCAGCTACAACCGTCAAAAACAACAACGTGTCTTCTCTAATTACCTCGTACGAGATTTAGTGCTTTATTCACAGGGATCTGGATATGTAATTTACAGTGTTAATCGATTCCACATGAGTCGTTTTACACCCACTTAATTTAATTACAGTTTCGATGAGTGATTTGTTTTATAAAATTGCTTTGAAGAGAATCTCCGTTTTTAAGGGACAAAGTTTTGCTTTCTGCTAATGCGTAAAATACGTGTTTATATTCTCTCTGTGGGTTTTGCTTATGACAAACAGGGTTTTATTCATCATTATCAGTGTACCGCTGCAACAAAATGTTCAATTTATTTACCCACTCAGCTCTGTCGCTTTGTGCAAGTTGTTCAAATAAAAGTAATTTCTTTGCGCCCTAATCTGAGCACAAGTGACAAATGTTTTATCACTGGGGGAATATAATCCTCTCTGTGGGCGGACATAATTTCCATGAGATAAATGCTATCATGTTAGATTAAAATAAAAGATGTGTATGAAAATCTCTCTGTGCATTTTAAGTAAAATATAGTTAAACAGGTGTGCGTTTTTATTGTATCATGATCAGTGGCTGAGTTACTGGCTCTAATGTCGCATTTAAACACAACACTCATCATTTTGTATTTTTTTATTTTCCCCAGGGTTATCACCGTGTCTTCTGCAGAGGTCTGAGCCGAGATGGGGAGCAAAGCCCTGCACGCTCCGATCCCCCTGCACCCGGCCCTCCAGCTCACAAACTACTCCTTCCTGCAGGCCGTCAACACTTTCCCCGCTGACCAGCTGCAGGGATTGTACGGCCTCAGCGCTGTGCAAACCATGCACATGAACCATTGGACTCTTGGTTACCCGCACATCCAAGGACTGAGGTCGACGATCACAGAGATGGCAGCCGCCCAGGGCCTGGTGGACCCCAGGATTCCCTTCCCAGGGTTACCCTTCACAGCCGCAGCGCAACTCTTCCATCCAAAACAAGGCGGCGTTGCGCACGGCGTCCCCTCGCTGCACAAGGACAGGCCGAGGTTTGACTTCGCCAACCTGGCCCTCGCTGCCACACAGGAGGACCCGCCGAAAGCTGCGGATTTGGAGAAGTTGGCGTTAGGAGGGACCATCTCTGAGCTGAGCAAGCTGTCCCCGGACAGAAAACCCACGAGGGGCAGGCTCCCATCCAAGACTAAAAAGGAATTTATTTGCAAGTTCTGCGGCAGGCATTTCACCAAATCCTACAACCTCCTCATCCACGAGAGGACCCACACAGACGAGCGGCCTTATACCTGTGATATTTGCCACAAGGCCTTCAGAAGACAAGACCATCTCAGAGACCACAGGTAAGACAGATTTTTACTGTGATAATTACTCAGTGTGTTAGGAGGGGGGTCCCAGCAGTATTCCCGAGTTTGCTTTAAATCACATATACATGTATTTCTCTAAATGATCTGTTCAGGACTTGCAATTACAAATATATCCTTAATTTTACTATAATATACAGGCAGGCCTGTTCCCAGAGTTTTCTCCATGAGGGCGCTAAAGCACTTTTACGCATAAAGTTGGACACTCATAACTTGCACAGTAGAGATTTTTCGCCCTGTGACTCTGGGGTTTGTAGCAGCTACAAGCAAATCCACGCATGAGCAGACATCTGATTAAGTGCTATTTCTGTTTTACAGATACATCCACTCCAAGGAAAAACCATTCAAATGTCAAGAATGTGGGAAGGGATTCTGTCAGTCTCGAACTCTAGCCGTCCATAAAACCTTACATATGCAGGTAAGCTGAAAATATTAACAGTCACCATGATTTTATCCTCACTGAACTGTGTGACACGTTATGATCATTATTCACCTGTTGTGCACGCTCTGCTGCATGTATGGGGATATTAATAAGTCTCATAAAACGATTGCGTTTGGCCAATTACCAAATTAAAACAAAAACATGTGAGTGAGGGATACACACAAAAGTCATATAAGAATTATTGTGTAAATCAGTGTGAGTTATAACTGACACAATACAGGAGTTATTTAGATGATTGAAAGATACAACTGATAGACGTTATATACAATTAAAGGGAATAATCCTTTGCTTGCTTTAAATCTAAACAGGAGTCTCCCCACAAATGCCCCACATGCGGAAGAACCTTTAATCAAAGAAGTAACCTGAAAACTCACCTTCTCACCCATACAGACATCAAGCCCTACAGCTGTGGCCGCTGCGGAAAGGTGTTTCGGCGCAACTGTGACTTGCGACGGCACAGTTTGACGCACAGCCCACATCAGGACTACTAGCCTGGACAGACAAACAAAATAACAATGGACAAAAACGCAAGAAGATTTTTTTTTTTTTTTTTTTTGGCTTTTTTTTTTGTTCAAAGACAATCTCCAAATCAGGACACGTTTACTGCAGCACATCGTAGAGTGGGATTTGGTTGAACCTCAAGTGGGACAGCAGCGGAGCCATGGCCGTGTCCAGCTTTCACACCACCTGTAAATATCAAAGAACATGTACATAATGGTGTTTTTTTATTTTCTCTTCTGACCTTGAACTCATAAAGTTGTCAAAAAATAGTCATAAGTTTAAAGTATGTTAAATTGTATTTTAGAAATAAATATTTCCGTTATACATTTGCATTTGCTCTGTCTTTTTATTTCATGATTCCCATGCCTTGAAACATGAGACACAATGTTAAACCAAAAAAGCAATATTTAGTTGAAACCATTTACCATGGCCATCAAATTAATAGTCTATATGTTTACAGCCAGCAGCCAGTGAGAGCTTAGTGTGGCTGACTTGTTGGGCTTTTTATAGTAGACCAGCAGATATCAGTTAGCAGCTAGAGAGCATGAAATGTCTTTGAGGACGGGTCTTGCGGAAAGTCATTAAAATGCAAAATATAATGTATTTTTTTGTTCCTTTTTTTATTTTTATTTTTATTTACTAATAATTGATTATGTACAGTAAACGATCTTAAAGGTTTTTTTTTTTTTTTTAAATAAAAATAATAATCACATAATGAATATGTGTGCAGGATTGTCTACCATCTGCCTATTAGCACTTTTCTCTCAGCTGTATTGAGCCCCATTTTTATCTTCAGTATCTGGACCCTGCAGAGGCTGATTAGTATTATTAGCCGCATTAGCAGCCATATCACATGTCTTTATCTGCATCGCCTCTGATATCATTATTGACCTGGAAGCGGTAGAAGGAAGTCACCTGCGCAAAGAAAGCAATTTAACCCGACAAGATGAGACCGATACTGCCTACAGATTAATTCTGGGAAATGATCATGGTTCCTTAATTCATCACTTACACTACAAACAAAAACACAATAAAAATGGTTTGTTTATGGAGATCCTATTTTATTATATCTCAGATTTTCATCCACCTGCAACCAGTTTTGATTGAGTATTTTCTTTTCATTTAGGCTATAACAACATTAACATCAGATTTACAAATCGATTTAACATTTGGGTTTAAGATGTAGTTTGAAATGGTTCATTTACACAATATAATTATTGTGAAGTATATTTTAAGAAGCAGGTTCACTGGGAAAGGCTGAGCACTTTGGAGGTCATGCTTAAACACACAGGTTTAGCAATCAGTATTTATTTGTGTAAATACATATATAAATTCCAAGATTTGAATTTCATCCAGCTAACCTTTGGTCGGCCACTGAAGGGATCAAATGGCGCTTGAATATTAACCATGAGAGCAAGGGTCTGTTACACAATGAGTTGATCTATAATCATTTTTTTTTATTATTAGGTGAATAAAAAGTAAGACTCTCTCCCTCTGTCTCTGTCCTTATCTGTCTGTCTCTGTCCGTTACTTGGCCTTCAAGCCTGTTCTCAGGATTTCACCAGCCGTTATTGGCGGCTGAAGACTCGTTTAAAAGCTTGATTTTCACCTGACAGTGCAATTAATTGCTTGAAAAAATAGCATTTATATTTAATGGGCTCGAAAATAGGGCCTGGAACAAGTGGCTACAATAACAACAGAAGATTTAAAACGGCGCTCATTGCTGCTGAAAGGCCATTAACTAAGGCCCAGTTTATTACGCACTGCAGTTTTCCTAATTATTTTCTAAATGGAAAGTCAACGTCTGCAGCTAGCTCAAATTTACAGAAAAAGCAATTGAGCTTTTTAATCATACAAAAAAATCATGCCTAATCACCAAAACTGAAAACCTGCAAACACTGCAAATATGAAAAGATGGATTATGTACACGCAATAATAATAATAATAATAATGATTTTAAAAAATCTAGTAATAATAATAACGACACAAACTTTTTATTTAACATTTTTATTTTATTTGGAGTACATTGTTTGAGAAGGTTACCCCTAAAAATTGAATTTAAATCTGCATTATCTAATAATGAGCTAATTCGATTACAGTTACACAAATTCTGATCAACTTAAATGAACAAAACAATTCTAAAGGCTGAATATGACCTCATAGGTTAATGCTGAAGGCGACAAAAAAGTATGTAACTGATGTACAGGTGAATAATATAGAAATGATAGAAGTATATGACTTTAAAAAATAAAATAACCTTTCAAAATTTTAGAGTGCATTTTAGTGTTTTCAGAATTAGCTTTTATTTTAATTTGTTGCTACCTTGACCAATGGGAAACCGGCTATGGATCAACAAGATTTTTCAACTCAAATGTATCGGTTAGGAGATGGTAATACTGTCCTGGAGGGTAGAAAACACATATTTGATGTGTCACATTATCTACAAACTAATGTTTAAATGAATCACTGACTTTGAAGACGCACCCAAATATACTGCGTTAGTTTCTGCACCACCAGAATGCCAGGTTGGACCTAAAGATCTGACCAGACTGTGTATAGACTGAATGAAATGAATTAAACTCAGCCCTGTAGCGTTTGCAGAACTAATAAGCTATGAAGTACTTTTCTGTCGTCCCGAACTGACCTGAGAATAATGACAGTGATGGTGAGCGCTCGCACAGTTGGCAGAGAGTGGACAGTCACATGGTGAACTTCATCGGTGACCGCCCGTCCTGCGTGGACTGTGTACTCAAGAAGCTTTATCTAGCTGACAGGGGCGAGGCGGCACTGACTGCAGGCCACTGAGCTCCACTGCTCTGATATGAGCTCCATATGACCCTCAACGGCCAGTGATAGACACGCACTTCTTTTATTTCAGTCACACTGTCTCTGTTGCCATAATCAGAAAAATCCCTATGAAAACCTCCAAAAATCTGTTTGAATCCATGCTGTCATGACAGAAACTCCAAATAATAAAGGGCGTGTAAGTGTCCAATCATTTGGATTTATTTAGTTTTGTAGGTTATGACTTATTTGTGTGCTCTAGTTGGTAATTTCAATATTACAGCTATCAAAAAACGACTCCATGGCAGCAGCTGATAACCGACAGTAATAGGAATTTTGACATATAAAGCCACTGGCCGCAGAACTGACTGGTGTGTCCAAGTCTGATTGTGACGAATAGATGGATCCTAACCCTGTTTTCACCCGTAAATCAGGCAGATATTTGTCTGATAAGCCAGGTTTTATGAATCCAAGGTCACCCATGGCTATGAAGAAACAAAAGAAGGCCTAAGAAGGACAAAATCATTTTTATTCTATTTTATTTTTTACTTGTCCGTGGTGTTTGCCACCGAATTATTATTTACAATAGATGATATTCACTTATTGTTCCAGTACCACAGGCTTATATATACGTCTGTACATTTCGCCTCCAGTTGTATATGTTGATATCACAATGACACATCATGTCATATTTAAGATTAGACCGCCAGTGGCATATTTATAAACCAGACATGTCACCTGTGCGACCGAAACGCAAAGATCCTTCTGTTACAGCCGTCATCACTTTCACTGACTTTTCTCGGTCTCACTATCTGAAGAGAATCTCTGCCCTTGAAATGAAACCCGTATCGCGATGAGTATCCTATTGACTGATTTCGAGAAAACGTCTCCTACGCACTGACACCATTCAGGAGCTGCTCACTGTGAGGTTTATTCTCTAGTCTCTCGGCAAAGGTGAGCCTCTACAGCCATATAAGGGGTAGAGGCGTGCGAAAGAAATTACGTATGTAACGTGACATGGTGCCTTCCCGTGCTTCCCGTAAATGCCAAGTTACACTGAGTGGTCGGTGGTGTGACTACAAGCACATTCTAATGAGAAATATTGTTAAAAGTGACTTTGAAACAGCAGGTATGTGCTGCTGTTTCACTTATTTTTAAACTGAACTGACACTACTGCACCTGGTGCTACAGTAAACGAATTATTAAGACGCAACATGCATCAGGCATTTCCTTGTTGTCCTCATGGATTTCTTATTAGTGACCCCCCTAGTTGGTCCTTTCAATATCATATTTCACCCTGTTATGTATTACCTACAGGAAATTTCGAGTGTCTCTATTTCCAGTAGCTATTTTGTCCGGTATATGTGCATAGAACGCTGAATCGCACATTTCCAACGGGATTAAACGCAACACCAGGCATACGGAAGCCGCACTGGTGTTTACTGATGACGTTTGGGCTGAAGCCGTTCAGAGATCTGGCTAACGTCAGTTAACAGGATGAATATGTTATAATAAACGTCGAATTGGAGAAATAGCGACAGGATATAAGCGGCAGTCAAGTAAGGAAGGGCTTTTCTATTGGTCCCCGCGGTCACACGTTGTAGACAGCCGAAACGAAGTTAGGGCGACTTCTTCTCAGCAGTTAGCTTAGCTTCGTTACTCTGCTGCTGTGGTGTTTATAGCTAGAATGACAGGAGAGCACAGCTAACGTTAGCCTCTCTGGCTAACTACTCCGACGTAACTTACATTTCTCACTAACGTTACGTAGGACGGCTGTGCTTCATTTAAAACAACAAGTGTTCATTAGTTCCATTGCGGTGTATTTGGAAGTGTTGTTGCTAACTGCTGCTGGCGTTTCGCCTTTAGTCGCTTGCATAAAAAGTGAAGACACAACAAGCATGCTAATTCAGACACTCCTGTCAGTTAAAATGAAGCCACCTAAAATAAGAAACATTGAAATGTATTAAAAAGTTAGTTAAACCTTCCCCTGCAACCCACACGGACAGAATTCTCGTTCTGCCCCTGGTGAGTGTAAATATTAGCTCCACATGACCAACTGTAGTTACACCCTCAGTCTGCTTAGGTTTTAGACTTATTTAGTTAGTTTTTAAAAGCACATTTAATGTTAATGCCCATTTTGTGATAGGTTAAGTAAGTAAGTGTATTTATATAGCATCTTTCAAGAGCAGATGTCACAAAGAGCTTCATAGTAAAAGACAAATAAGCAAATAAGAGCAACATACATGAAATGCAAACATATGCTAAAAGTAACACACTAAAAACTAAACAAAGACAGCTTTAAATGTGTTAGGTTCAGTGGGAGAGAGTTCCAAAGTTTAGGAGCTATAAGTCTCCTTCTGTCTGGATCAACCAACAAGACCTGATCAGATGACCTCAGACACCTACTGGTGATATATAGTAGGGCTGCAGGTGCATGACCACGAAAGCCTCCAAATGCGATCACAACAATCTTGAACTGGATGTTGAATTGGTATCACATGAAATCTTTTGGAGGACTTTTGGATATTATTATTATTGGA